AATGCAGCCTACTTAGCCTCTAAACCACAACATACCAATAACATACCAATAAGATATCACTACAGCACAGAGAGGCAAAGACTGAAAGACTGAAAGTAAATACATTGAACAGCTGTCACTGAAAAAAAAACAGCATCAAAAGTGGGAGTGATTATATGAAATATAATTAAAGTGTAGTGTTCAACACCATGTAACAGCATGTAACATGAAACAACAAACTGTTGCTAGGGTTACCAACCACTGGATACAAATAAAGAGTTTTGTTCCCAAATTGCAAAGATATGACATCATGGATAGTGTCACATCATAATCATATGACTGATTATCTGTTCATCCCTTATAAATGTATTATCCTTATGTTCTGCTCTGAGGATTTCACCGTGTCTTTAAATACTTATTTCTGCCTGTTTCTTCTTATTTCACTTTCACATTGTCATTTTGTATCTCTTTAGTATTTTATTCTTCCCCTGTGCTAATCCTCTGCTCTTCCCCAGCTTACAGGTATCCACTGTGGTTCATCCTGTGCCTGCTGAATGATGGAACAGAGCTCTATGCAAGCGTCCTGTAGGTCATCGTTCACCAGGACACTGTCAAAAAACTGCTTGTACTTTGCTTCAATCGGCTTTGATGTCTCTTCAAGCTCTGCAAAGTCTTCCTCCTAAAACGACATTATTATTATTGTCAGTTTTAAATAACATTCATGCTTTTGCTTTTCTTTTTCATAAGCAGCTGTTCTCTCTCTCTCTCTCTCTCTCTCTCTCTCTCTCTCTCACACACACACATATAAAAAATTTTTATGCTCTTACTGAGAAAACTCTGTTGATGGCATAATTGGTGATGATTCGAGCATCTCTCCGAGTTTCCCTGAGTCTGTCTGGGCTGGGTGGTTTGATGAAAATTACATAGGGTTTAAATTTCTTTGTTCGCAACAGCTGGATGCTCTGGAAATAAAATACTATATTAACACCAAAGCCTTTTCAATCATATGCAAACAAAAAGCTTCACAGAAAACTTAGAGACTGTTCAGAATACATGAAATAAGTGAATCTGTGTTACATGAGACTCACATGGGGCTCGGCGTCAATGATACACATCCGCCCTCGTTTTAGCACCTCATCAATGGCATCAGTGCTAATTCCATACAGCTGACCTTTACTCTCCCCATATTCCAGAAATCTGAACACATGTACACACACACACATTCATACATCCACACGGGCAAAAACAGCATACAATTATAATTAAATAAATAATAAACTTATATAGTTCCCTAAAATTTGAACAAAAAGCCCCAAAAATCATGACAATCAACACCAAGAACATTAGCAAAATTTATAGTAAAGGAATAAAATCTTGCCTG